AAAAACACCTGGTCTATTTGTGAACTCGGTCAAATCACTTTTTAAATATCATAAATTACATAATTGAAATATTGTAAAAACTAAAGATTGAGCGATTAAATTTTTTAACATTTTTCTCTTTTAGTTTTAATGAAAATTTTTAAAAGATTGAAGCAATTTAATTTTGTAACATTTTTTTATATAGTTTTAATTCAAAAGCTTGAGAACTTAATGTATAATAATTATTGTATGTTATAAGAAATGCTACAATCTCATTACCAAATAATTATGTCGGGATTTATAATCCTTTATGGGTTTGTTTGGAAACACTTATTGATAAGTCCATTTCAAGATGGACTTTTTAAAAAGTGACTTCTCAAGAAGTCTTCAATATAAACTTCTTTGAAATGGACTTTTTGTAGGAGTTACTTTTTTAAAAGTCCATTTTGTTGTTTACACCAAACATCTTTTTATATTGGAAATGGACTTTTATAGTCAAAAGTCCATTACAAAAGTACTTCCAAACATACACTATATCATTATGTAACCGCTCGTTGCCGTAGGGTTACACCGACCTAGAATCCCCCTTATATTATAGGGAAATGCTACAGTCCTGTTATAGAACTATTTCGTTCGAGTTTGTAACCGTTAGATCATCATGTAACCGTCGAAGATAGTTTATTTAACGGTTATAAACCCCGACAGAATAGTTCCGTAACGGAACTGTAACATCTCCCTATATTATATAAAAAAAGAATGTATAACAGTATAAATACTCTCTCTCTCTCTCTCTCCCTCTCTTATCTTCTTTCAGACTGTCACCTGAAATCTCGGGCAAACACAGAAACTTAAACTAACCAACAAATCAAATTAAAGTCATACTGAGAAAAGGAAAAATTCTGTAAACAGTAAAAACACAAGTCCAAATTCCTTGTTACAACAGTAGCAGCAGCAGTTAATATATATATTTACACATACAAAGATGAATTTTTTTTTTTGCCCTTTTTTTCCCCCTTCTTTAATAAAAAAATCTAATCTTTGGGAGTCTCATCATCAACTCAACCAAATTGGTTAATTTTGCCCATCACTAAA